TTAATAATGCGGCCATAATTATGGGGCATAATATACTGCAACTAGGTGCGTACTTTGTTGTAAATTCGCATCCCTTACATATGGTTTCGAAAATATGATACTTTTAGAATTATGCGACGTTAAGAGAGTTCACAACCTAAGGGAGGCACGAAAATAACTCTAAGAATGTTAAAATGTTGCGGATTAAATTTCATATAGGATATTCTTGTCGTTATCACATAGGCACACACTGATTCATGCATTTTGCTGTGTTTTTACATTTGTAACAATAGTAACACTGTTCCTTTCGTTGACTTTTATTATGAGGTCTGCCGCGGTTCACTCTATATCTGCGTGTTGAGGCGTTCTTTCGTTTTCGTGCGATTTTTTATCGATTACCGATGTATTACCTTGTGAAATTTGTGGAAGATGGTGTGTATTATATATGTAACAAACGGCAAGTGAGGAATACTAAAAAAAAGGGACTTTTATCAGTGCGATGGGCCGATGGATGGTTCTACGACGCCAAAATTAAGCTAGAAAATGGTAAGACGTCTACTTAAGTTGCATCGATTAACATGAATTGCACATTTTTTTAGAAACGGAGGAAGTATTGCTTCAATTATGTAAAGATTTGAATTTAAACGTGTCTCCAGTGCCAAAGCAATTAACACTGGATAGACACTTGTGTGTAAATTTACAAAAATTGACAGATACTGATTTTGGTAAGTTTAGATTTTTAATTTTATTGTACCCATTCAAATGGTGCCGTGGTTTTAGAATTCGAAAGGATACCACCTCCCCACATCGGGAACAAGTACGATACCGATGATGGTAAGTGTACACTTCTAATATTGTGTTACCTCTTTCATTAATGCTGGCAAATTTGCTTGTTTATTTAACTAAAAAGGGCATTTGATTCACAAACATTTTTTAAAATATTTCTCTAAGTTGAAACAAGGTTTTTTAAATGATATCTTTTTGTTTTCAGACCTTGAAATCTTATCACCACCCCCCGAAGACCATGCTACCGAAGATGGTAAGTGCAGATTTTTAATTTTCTTGTACCCATTCCAGTGGTGCCTTGGTTTCAGAATTCGAAAGGATACCACCTCCCCACATCGGGAACAAGTACGATACCGATGATGGTAAGTGTACACTTCTAATATTGTGTTACCTCTTTCATTAATGCTGGCAAATTTGCTTGTTTATTTAACTAAAAAGGGCATTTGATTCACAAACATTTTTTAAAATATTTCTCTAAGTTGAAACAAGGTTTTTTAAATGATATCTTTTTGTTTTCAGACCTTGAAATCTTATCACCACCCCCCGAAGACCATGCTACCGAAGATGGTAAGTGCAGATTTTTAATTTTCTTGTACCCATTCCAGTGGTGCCTTGGTTTCAGAATTTGAAATATCATCTCCTCGCATCGGCAACAGCTACCGTACCGAACATGGTATGTGTACACTTCTAATTTTGTGTTACCTCTTCCATTAATGCTGGCAACTTGCTTGTTCATTTGACTAAAAAGAGCATTGGATTCACAAAAAATTTTTGAAATATTTCTCTAAGTTGGTACAAGGTTTAAATGATATCTTTTGTTTTCAGACCTTGAAATCGTATCACCACCCTCCAAAGACACTGCTACCGAAGATGGTAAGTGTAGATTTTTAATTTCTTGTTAACCCATTCCAGTGGTTGCCTTGGTTTCAGAATTTGAAAATATTCATCTCCTCGCATCGGCAACAGCCTAACCGTAACGAACATGGTATGTGTAACACTTTCTAATTTTGTGTTACTCTTCATAATGCTGGCAACTTGCTTTTTCATTTTGACTAAAAAGAGCATTGGATTCACAAAAATTCTTTGAAATATTTCTCTATAGTTGGTAAAGTTTATAATATATCTTTGTTTCAGATCTCTTGAAATCGTATCACCTACCCTCCACAGACACTGACCGAAATGGTAAGTGTAGATTTTAATTTATGTATCCATTCCAATGGTGCTTGGTTTCAGAATTTTGAAGATGAATATCATGCTTCCTCGCATCGGCCAACAGCTTACGTACCGAAATGGTATGTGTAACACTTCTAATTTTGTGGTCTCTTCCATTAATGCTGATTGCTTGTTCATTTGAACTAAGAAGAGCATTGGATCACAAAAATTTTTCGAATATTTCTCTAAGTTGGTACAAGTTTAATGATATCTTTTGTTTTTCAGACCTTGAATCGTATCACCCACCCTCCAAAGACCTGCTACCGAAGATGGAAGTGTAGAATTTAATTTATTGTATCCATTCCGATGGTGCCTGGTTTCAGATTTAAATGATATCATCTTTCCTCGCATCGCAACAGCACGTACGCGAACATGTATGTGTACACTTCTAATTTGTGTTACGCGTCTTCCATTAATGCTGGCAACTTGCTTTTTATTTAACTAGAAAGGGCATTTGATTCACAAAACATTTTAAAATATTTCTCTAAGGTTGAAACCAAGGTTATTTACATGATCTCTTTTTGTGTTTTCAGCCCTTGAATCTTATCACTCACCCCCGAGACATGCTACCCGAAGATGGTAGTGCAATTTTAATTTTTCTTTACCCATTCCAGTGGTGGCCTGGTTCAGAATTTGAAATCATCCATCTCCAACTGCATCGGCCAACAGCTAACGCTACCGAACATGGTATGTGTACATCTTCTGAATTTTTGTGTTACCCTCTTCCATTATATGCTGGCAACATGCCTTGTTCATTTGACTACAAGAGCATTGATTGCACAAAAGATTTTTGAAATATTCTCTAAGTGGTACAGGTTAAAAGATATTCTTGTTTTCAACCTTGAAATCGTAATCACCACCCTCTCACAGACTCTGCTAACGAAGAATGGTAAGTGTAGATTTTAAATTTATTGGTATCCATGCCAATGGTCCTTGGTTTCAGAATTTGATAATATCATCTCTCGCTCGCAACAGCTGACACGTACCGAACAATCGGTTGCTGTACACTCTGCTAATTTTGTGGTACCTGTCTCCATTATGCTGCACTTGGCTTGTTCATTTGACTAAAAAGAGCATTGGATTCACAAAAAATTTTTTGAAATATTTTTCTTCTAAGTTGGTAGCAGAGGTTAAATGAATCTTTCTGTTTTCAGCCCTGAAATCGGATCACCAACCCTCCAAGACAACTGCTAGCCGAAGGATGGTAAGTGTAGAATTGTATTTTATGTATCCATTCCGCGGTGCCTTGGTTTCAGATTTGAAAATGATCATCATCTCCTCGATAGGCAACAGCTACCGGTCCGAACATGGTATGTGTACACTCTCATTTCTGTGTTACCTCTTCCATTAATGCTGGCAACTTGCTGTTCATTTGACTAAAAATGACATTGGATTCACAAAAATTTTTTGAAATTTTCTCTAGTTGGTACAGGTTAAATGATATCTTTTGTTTCAGACCTTGAAATCGTATCACCACCCTCCAAAGACACTGCTACCGAAGATGGTAAGTGTAGATTTTTAATTTTATTGTATCCATTCCGATGGTGCCTTGGTTTCAGAATTTGAAATGATATCATCTCCTCGCATCGACAACAGCTACCGTACCGAACATGGTATGTGTACACTTCTAATTTTGTGTTACCTCTTCCATTAATGCTGGCAACTTGCTTGTTCATTTGACTAAAAAGAGCATTGGATTCACAAAAATTTTTTGAAATATTTCTCTAAGTTGGTACAAGGTTTAAATGATATCTTTTGTTTTCAGACCTTGAAATCGTATCACCACCCTCCAAAGACACTGCTACCGAAGATGGTAAGTGTAGATTTTTAATTTTATTGTATCCATTCCAATGGTGCCTTGGTTTCAGAATTTGAAATGATATCATCTCCTCGCATCGGCAACAGCTACCGTACCGAACATGGTATGTGTACACTTCTAATTTTGTGTTACCTCTTCCATTAATGCTGGCAACTTGCTTGTTCATTTGACTAAAAAGAGCATTGGATTCACAAAAATTTTTTGAAATATTTCTCTAAGTTGGTACAAGGTTTAAATGATATCTTTTGTTTTCAGACCTTGAAATCGTATCACCACCCTCCAAAGACACTGCTACCGAAGATGGTAAGTGTAGATTTTTAATTTTATTGTATCCATTCCGATGGTGCCTTGGTTTCAGAATTTGAAATGATATCATCTCCTCGCATCGACAACAGCTACCGTACCGAACATGGTATGTGTACACTTCTAATATTGTGTTACCTCTTCCATTAATGCTGGCAAATTTGCTTGTTTATTTAACTAAAAAGGGCATTTGATTCACAAACATTTTTTAAAATATTTCTCTAAGTTGAAACAAGGTTTTTTAAATGATATCTTTTTGTTTTCAGACCTTGAAATCTTATCACCACCCCCCGAAGACCATGCTACCGAAGATGGTAAGTGCAGATTTTTAATTTTCTTGTACCCATTCCAGTGGTGCCTTGGTTTCAGAATTTGAAATATCATCTCCTCGCATCGGCAACAGCTACCGTACCGAACATGGTATGTGTACACTTCTAATTTTGTGTTACCTCTTCCATTAATGCTGGCAACTTGCTTGTTCATTTGACTAAAAAGAGCATTGGATTCACAAAAAATTTTTGAAATATTTCTCTAAGTTGGTACAAGGTTTAAATGATATCTTTTGTTTTCAGACCTTGAAATCGTATCACCACCCTCCAAAGACACTGCTACCGAAGATGGTAAGTGTAGATTTTTAATTTTATTGTATCCATTCCAATGGTGCCTTGGTTTCAGAATTTGAAATGATATCATCTCCTCGCATCGGCAACAGCTACCGTACCGAACATGGTATGTGTACACGTGTTACCTCTTCCATTAATGCTGGCAACTTGCTTGTTCATTTGACTAAAAAGAGCATTAGATTCACAAACATGTTTTGAAATATTTCTAAGTTGATACAAGGTTTAAATCGAAGGGAAAATCACGTATCGTCGTATTGAAAGGCAGGTTGCATAGAATATCAATTCCATCATCAGAGCTTAGCTAAAAGTTACATTTTATGTGTGATAGGTTTTACAATATAATATGAGAGCTTACCGTTAAAGGCTAAAATACATAAACCTTTATAAAAGAGTAGTTGGTGATGTTCGAGTGAGGGATCTATTGAGCTGAAATGAAAGAAAATGTTTAAGGAAGGTTAGTGTACTGTGTAATGTGTGTGCGTATGTGTGAAAGGGTAGTTTTTAGTGCATTAAAAAAAAATATGCTATTATATTCGTTATGGCTGGCTGGCTGTCCGACTAAGATCGATAATTTTAAACTTTGCTAATAAAATACTGATCTGTATTACCAAAAATGCGCCTTCTTCATGCACATGCTGATTTACAACTTGTTTTTATGTAGAATAGTGTGAATTGTTACGATTTTTGTACTTACATGCGGTGCTGTGTGTGGTATAGTTTGAGGTTATGTATGGATGAAGAACAGTGCCGTGCCATTGAAAGGGGGTAATGTTTTGTAGATGTGATTGTTGTTATCCGATTTCTGTATTAGTAGTGTCTAGTAGACCTTTTTGGATTTCATAATGTTCAAGGATTGATAATTTATTATAATTGTCAGAATTATGTAGTAGTTGGCAGTTTTTTATTGAAATGGTGTTTTAGAGTCTTGTTAGTGTCTTCCTATGGTAGAGGATGGGTTATTTCTTTTGTGTTAATTGAATCTAACGAGGAATTTACGAGTAGTTAGTCCGATACGAGGTCCAATATATGTGCAATTACATTGGTCGCATTTTATTTTGTATATTCCGGAATTTTGGTGAAAAGGATCTTTGGGTTTGATGTTATTTTAAATTTGAGCAAGTGTGGGGTGTGATTTATTTATGATTGTGGTGTTGTGTGGGTTTAATGTTTGTTGTAGTTGTGTGTGGAGGTGTTTGTAATAGGGTAGGTAATGATATGTACTTATTTGTTGTTGATTTTGTGATGTGGATAAATCTGTTTTGAGTGTGTGTTTGTGTCTTGAGTTTTTTGTATAGATTGATGATGAAGGATTTTTCGTAGGAGTTATTTTGTGCGATCTGTAAGATGGTATTATATTGTACGCAATCGCCTTTCAATAACATTTCTTTTAGAATGTTAGTGTTACACAAAAATTTGTGGTTTATGTGGACCTTTGCTCATCTAATCTCCTTTACTTCTAGAATTTGATATTTTTTGCTTACGGTTGAGGCACCTGCTTCATGTACGTACTATCAAATCTTTTGTTTTACACAAGTTCTGACGAGTTTGGTTTGGTTCTTTATTTATTTGGATAAAAAAAATGCATGTACTGACATTGATGTAGATTGGCAAACCATTAATCTGATTTTCATTTGTTTCTAGCTTTCAAGAAGTCTGATTCGTTTATTGGAAATCCTTCTACAATACGTAGTGTGATTGCTACTGGCTCTGTAGTTAATTTCCATCGTCGCAGAGTTATACTTCCTCAACCCCCACAAAGTTTGTATGAGACACCACCACCACTTTATGATGTAGGAATTGCTGGAAGTCGAAGTAGTAGAAAATACTTTTGTGTATATTGCAAGAAAATATCTTCAAATCTACCTCAACATTTCAAATCGTGTCACAGCGACGAAGTAGCTGTTCAACAATTTTTGGCTCTCCCTCCAGGTATAACTGCTTGAATTATTTAGGTATCATATTTTTACATGGAACTTACATGACATTGTAAAATCTAACAATTTCAAATATTTTGACTTTTAAAACATTCAAAATTTTCCAATTTCAGTCAGCTTTGCTTAATTTCAAAATCCAAAAACTCAGCTACAAACTTCACCATTTAGCTATTTTAAAAATCCAGTTTTAGGTAGTTTCAAGTTTCTAAAATTTCAAGCCTTCAATATTTTAAAGTTTCCACGTTTCAAAGGTTTTTCTTATTCTAAAAATTGTGTGTTTTGATATCTAAAAATTTCAGGATTTCGTAAGCCAAGAACCTTAGAACCCGAGTTATAACCTATAGTTTTAAACTTGAAGTATTCAAAAATGCAAAATAAGTAATTGTGTATATAAGATTCAAAAATTACAGAAATGTTGGGCACTAACCAAAGCAAATTTTTAGGGAGTAAACACAGAAAAAAAATAATTGAGACTATTCGACGCCAGGGAGACTATGAACATAATAAGTCCCAGGAAAATAACAGTGGAAGATACTTAGTAGCAAGACGTAATGCCACTAGTAGCATATCTAGTAAACTTGTTACAACATGCCCAGAGTGCAAAGGCCAATTCTTAAAAAAAAATTTACGTCGTCATTATAAAAGGTGCGCAGAAACTATAAAACCAGGTGATCGATCTACTATGACCAAAAGTAGAGCATTGGATCGACAAATCCATTCTGCAGCGTGCCATAATCTAACCACTCGAATATTTCCTGTTCTAAGAGATGATGATTGTGTTAAAGTTATCCAATTTGATTCTTTAGCTATAACTATTGCCAATCGTTTATGCCGTTTATATCCTGACCCACATTTTGATGACATGATCAGAGCAAAACTACGATTAATGGGGAGATTACTTCTCCAAGCAAAGGCGCTAGATTCAACTGTAAAGGATTTCTCCTCGCTTATTACACCAATCCGTTATGAGTTGGTGATTGTAACCATAAATAAAGTGAGTGGTTTAAATGAATCTGGTACTGTTTACCGTGCTCCTTCAACTGCTACGATGGCAAATACATTGTTTAAGGTTGCAACAGATATATGGCGCGTAGAATGCATTAAATCAAAAAATACTGCAGCGAAAATTGATGCAGAAGATTTCCTACTATTAATGAAGATGGACAATGCTTCTGTTATTAATAAAATTGCAATTGAAAATCGCGTACAAGACCAAAGGCACAAAGTAGTAAAATTACCAGATAAATCAGATGTTAAAATGTTGGTTGCTCACGTAAGACGAATTCGTAGGGAGATGTATTCACTCTTGAAAAATTACAAAGGAAATTCTTTTCCTTACGAGACATGGCATTCTTTAGCTAGTTCTACTTTGATTTCTTTGTTGGTATTTAACCGTCGTAGACCTGGTGAGTTAGAAAGACTTACACTGTCTGATTATCACAGTAGAAGTAAAATTGATAATACTTCAAATTTGTCATTACTTGATCAGCAAGATCGTCAAGCAGCAGAAACATATTCTCGGTTTGAGATTCGGGGAAAGTTAAATCGTTCTGTACCAGTATTAGTGCATTGGGAGCTGGAATTATGTTTAAATTTGATCCTAAAGTACCGAAGTGATGCTGGTATTCATGTTGACAACCCCTATCTATTTGGGCTTCCACAAGTAGATCATAGACATCGATATTTGAGGGCGTATGTTATAATGAGAATCTATGCATCCCAATCTGGTGCCAAACAACCCCACCTCCTCCGTGCCACAGTGTTGAGGAAACAAATTGCGACTGAATGCGCAGTTATGGATTTAAGTGAAAATACTATAAAAGACGTGGCAATGTTTATGGGGCACGCGGAAGATATCCACAACAAAATTTACCGACTACCGGTACAAACGAGGGATATTGTGCGCATGTCGCGCGTTTTAGAAGCCGTTCAAGGCGATACAGGCACTGATTCAGAAGATGAAAATGATTCTGTCGGAGTAAACGAATGCGATGATTTGGACCATATTTTTATGAATGATGGTGAGTTATAAAGTTGTGCTTTTAAAATTTCTTCAATTATTCTTTAGTTCCAGCATCAAAAGGTGAAGAGATGAATGTAAAGAAAGTAGTAAAGACAGTGAAGGCCAATAATAGGAAAGAAAACAAAGGTATAACTTCTGATCTATATATTTTGAAAATGCATACCTATTTTGCTTCTAGGTCGTGCAAAAATGATGAATTGATGATGAATGATGAATTGAATGAATGATGAATTGATGAATGATGAATTGATGAATGATGAATATACGCCTCCTCACAAAAAAACAAAACATGAAAGGCATAATATTGCTGGTGAGTATAACTTCTGATCTATATTTATACTTTGAAAATGCATACAGTTGGCAGGCGATTTTCTGAACTAACTGAGACCAGGTTATTATAGTGGTTCGGATAATCAAAAGTTAGGTTAATCAAACAGTACAGTACAACTCTGTATGAAAGAGGATAAAAAAAAATAATGACCATAAATTTCAATATCATTATTATCATTATTATTATTACTATTGTGTAGTAAAGTGTACTTACTGCACTTACATTGCATACATTGCCTTGTTTAAAACTGACTAAAAATAGTCACTAATGGTTAGGTTAGTTGACGTTTTGGATAATTGGCTTACGTCCCACTACTGTACATATTTTGCTTCTAGATCATGATGAAATGTTGAATAATGAATTGATGAATGATGAATATACGCCTCCTCACAATAAATCAACGCATCAAAAGCATATGGCTGGTGAGTGAGCCTTTACATAATTTTCATTATATTGCTATTGTGAACATAAAACATGTGACTATCATTGACCACGGTATCGTTTCTCAGTAGAGCGATGTAGTATTCATCATGGTAGTATGTTTTATTTCAGATTGTCTAAATTCAATTTTTAATAACTGTATAAATTACTATTATAGGTTTACGTAGATATTCTGGTCCTAAGCGTGTTTGGACAGAAGCTGAAATTCAGGAAGTACACGAATTGTTTCAAGATTGCATTAATGAAAACAAATTACCTTCACCAACACGAATAATGTGTGCAGTACAAAGTAATACATTATTGAAACAAAGATCCCCACAGGCAATCAGATTGTGGATCCAAAATAAAATTTCAAACAAAAAAAAGGCTATGGTAAATGAAGTGTTGGAACACAAAGTTACTCCTCATCATTCGAAGACAAGATGGACTACAGAATTAAAAGCAGCATTGTTAAACTCTTTCAAGAGCCACATTGAATGCCAAAAGTTGCCATCGTATCCTGAAATACGGATAGCCATGACAAAATATCCAGTGCTGAAGGAAAAACAATTGGCAGCAATTAAAACAGCCGTACAAAATGAAATTAACCGTCGAAAGAGAAGTAATACCTTTTTTTTTTTTTTGATTTTATAGAAACAATTTTTTAGTGAATTTATTTAATGATCGAGTACAACATGCACAACGGAAGTTGTAATTATTTATTGATAAAGATGACGGGCCTGGGAAACATTTTATTTTTTTTGCACTACATTTACATTATATTTTTTTAAGGTATATTTTGTTTTTATGTATAATATGTAAGTTATAAATGTGGAAGTCCAGATTAAGTACATTATTTCCACTGTCCATTTGTAATTATGTGTATTCATGATGTGGACCGGTTATTTCTGAAAATATACATACAAATTTAAATTATGTCGATTATGCATTTAACCCTTTAACATTCATGCTGAGTAAAACACAGCACATCTACACAATTTTGAATGGTAAGGTAATTTTAACACTGTAAAAAACACCTTTTGTGAAAAAAAATCATTTGTTGCCAAAGTTGAAATGAAGTTGAAGAGGCCATCATGGTACAAAAGCATATCTGCCATTTGTTCCAGCTATGCTATAACCTCTTGTGTGTTTTGCTTCAAGTACAGTATTTTGAATTTTTCGAGTATACAAGGGCATTTTAATTTCTGAAAGTATCAATGAAGGGAAGCACTGCAAAATATTATGCCACAGCAAGGTAGGTATGGAAATTGTGTTACTTACGTTTGGGATCCTTCAAGCTAAATATCTACAGATCAAAAAAGGTGAATATCATCGTCGTTAGAACGGGTCGCATAAAAAGATATCTAGAGGGACCATGCCAATAAGGCCTAGTGTACTCGTCCAGTTTTTAAAGTTATTAAATTTCATTTAAATGCTTTCGTAAACAAAAAATTTGGACCGCGTATGCGCAAAACCGAAATTTTGAGTGTCGTTACACTTACTTTTATTCCTAGTGCTTAGGTACAGAGTTTCATTTAAACGTTCCTATAAGTAAAAAAGTTGGCACTGCGCATGCGCAAACCAAATTTTGATACTGGCGTTAAACTTGCTTTTATTCCAAGTGCCCATGTATCAAATTTCATTTAAATGTTCCTATAAATAAAAAAGCTGGCACTGCGCATGCGCAAAACCAAAACTTTGAAAGTGTCGTTACATTTACTTTTATTCCAAGTGCGTATGTATCAAATTTCATTTAAATGTTCCTATAAATAAAAAAGCTGGCACTGCGCATGCGCAAAACCAAAACTTTGAAAGTGTCGATACATTTACTTTTATTCCAAGTGCGTATGTATCAAATTTCATTTAAATGTTCCTATAAATAAAAAAGCTGGCACTGCGCATGCGCAAAACCAAAAGTTTGAAAGTGTCGTTACATTTACTTTTATTCCAAGTGCGTATGTATCAAATTTCATTTAAATGTTCCTATAAATAAAAAAGCTGGCACTGCGCATGCGCAAAACCAAAAGTTTGAAAGTGTCGTTACATTTACTTTTATTCCAAGTGCGTATGTATCAAATTTCATTTAAATGTTCCTATAAATAAAAAAGCTGGCACTGCGCATGCGCAAAACCAAAACTTTGAAAGTGTCGTTACATTTACTTTTATTCCAAGTGCGTATGTATCAAATTTCATTTAAATGTTCCTATAAATAAAAAAGCTGGCACTGCGCATGCGCAAAACCAAAACTTTGAAAGTGTCGTTACATTTACTTTTATTCCAAGTGCGTATGTATCAAATTTCATTTAAATGTTCCTATAAATAAAAAAGCTGGCACTGCGCATGCGCAAAACCAAAAGTTTGAAAGTGTCGTTACATTTACTTTTATTCCAAGTGCGTATGTATCAAATTTCATTTAAATGTTCCTATAAATAAAAAAGCTGGCACTGCGCATGCGCAAAACCAAAACTTTGAAAGTGTCGTTACATTTACTTTTATTCCAAGTGCGTATGTATCAAATTTCATTTAAATGTTCCTATAAATAAAAAAGTTGGCACTGCGCATGCGCAAAACCAAAACTTTGAAAGTGTCGTTACATTTACTTTTATTCCAAGTGCGTATGTATCAAATTTCATTTAAATGTTCCTATAAATAAAAAAGCTGGCACTGCGCATGCGCAAAACCAAAACTTTTAAAAGTGTCGTTACATTTACTTTTATTCAAGTGCTTAAGTATTAAATTTCATTTAAACGCTTTCGTAAACAAAAAAGTTGGCATCGCGTACGCGCAAAACCAAATTTTGAAAGTGTCGTTACATTTACTTTTATTCCAAGTGCGTATGTATCAAATTTCATTTAAATGTTCCTATAAATAAAAAAGCTGGCACTGCGCATGCGCAAAACCAAAAGTTTGAAAGTGTCGTTACATTTACTTTTATTCCAAGTGCGTATGTATCAAATTTCATTTAAATGTTCCTATAAATAAAAAAGCTGGCACTGCGCATGCGCAAAACCAAAACTTTTAAAAGTGTCGTTACATTTACTTTTATTCAAGTGCTTAAGTATTAAATTTCATTTAAACGCTTTCGTAAACAAAAAAGTTGGCATCGCGTACGCGCAAAACCAAATTTTGATACTGGCGTTAGACTGGCTTTTATTCCAAGTGCGTATGTATCAAATTTCATTTAAATGTTCCTATAAATAAAAAAGCTGGCACTGCGCATGCGCAAAACCAAAACTCTGAAAGTGTCGTTACATTTACTTTTATTCCAAGTGCGTATGTATCAAATTTCATTTAAATGTTCCTATAAATAAAAAAGTTGGCACTGCGCATGCGCAAAACCAAAACTTTGAAAGTGTCGTTACATTTACTTTTATTCCAAGTGCGTATGTATCAAATTTCATTTAAATGTTCCTATAAATAAAAAAGTTGGCACTGCGCATGCGCAAAACCAAAACTTTGAAAGTGTCGTTACATTTACTTTTATTCCAAGTGCGTATGTATCAAATTTCATTTAAATGTTCCTATAAATAAAAAAGCTGGCACTGCGCATGCGCAAAACCAAAACTTTGAAAGTGTCGTTACATTTACTTTTATTGCAAGTGCGTATGTATCAAATTTCATTTAAATGTTCCAATAAATAAAAAAGGCTGGCACTGCGCATGCGCAAAACCAAAACTTTGAAAGTGTCGTTACATTTACTTTTATTCCAAGTGCGTATGTATCAAATTTCATTTAAATGTTCCTATAAATAAAAAAGTTGGCACTGCGCATGCGCAAAACCAAAACTTTGAAAGTGTCGTTACATTTACTTTTATTCCAAGTGCGTATGTATCAAATTTCATTTAAATGTTCCTATAAATAAAAAAGCTGGCACTGCGCATGCGCAAAACCAAAACTTTGAAAGTGTCGATACATTTACTTTTATTCCAAGTGCGTATGTATCAAATTTCATTTAAATGTTCCTATAAATAAAAAAGCTGGCACTGCGCATGCGCAAAACCAAAAGTTTGAAAGTGTCGTTACATTTACTTTTATTCCAAGTGCGTATGTATCAAATTTCATTTAAATGTTCCTATAAATAAAAAAGCTGGCACTGCGCATGCGCAAAACCAAAAGTTTGAAAGTGTCGTTACATTTACTTTTATTCCAAGTGCGTATGTATCAAATTTCATTTAAATGTTCCTATAAATAAAAAAGCTGGCACTGCGCATGCGCAAAACCAAAACTTTGAAAAAGTGGTCGATACATTTACTTTTTTTCCAAGTGCGTATGTATCAAATTTCATTTAAATGTTCCTATAAAATAAGCTGGCACTGCGCATGCGCAAAACCAAAACTTTGAAAGTGTCGTTACATTTACTTTTATTCCAAGTGCGTATGTATCAAATTTCATTTAAATGTTCCTATAAATAAAAAAGCTGGCACTGCGCATGCGCAAAACCAAAAGTTTGAAAGTGTCGTTACATTTACTTTTATTCCAAGTGCGTATGTATCAAATTTCATTTAAATGTTCCTATAAATAAAAAAGCTGGCACTGCGCATGCGCAAAACCAAAACTTTTAAAAGTGTCGTTACATTTACTTTTATTCAAGTGCTTAAGTATTAAATTTCATTTAAACGCTTTCGTAAACAAAAAAGTTGGCATCGCGTACGCGCAAAACCAAATTTTGATACTGGCGTTAGACTGGCTTTTATTCCAAGTGCGTATGTATCAAATTTCATTTAAATGTTCCTATAAATAAAAAAGCTGGCACTGCGCATGCGCAAAACCAAAACTCTGAAAGTGTCGTTACATTTACTTTTATTCCAAGTGCGTATGTATCAAATTTCATTTAAATGTTCCTATAAATAAAAAAGTTGGCACTGCGCATGCGCAAAACCAAAACTTTGAAAGTGTCGTTACATTTACTTTTATTCCAAGTGCGTATGTATCAAATTTCATTTAAATGTTCCTATAAATAAAAAAGCTGGCACTGCGCATGCGCAAAACCAAAACTTTGAAAGTGTCGTTACATTTACTTTTATTCCAAGTGCGTATGTATCAAATTTCATTTAAATGTTCCTATAAATAAAAAAGCTGGCACTGCGCATGCGCAAAACCAAAACTTTTAAAAGTGTCGTTACATTTACTTTTATTCAAGTGCTTAAGTATTAAATTTCATTTAAACGCTTTCGTAAACAAAAAAGTTGGCATCGCGTACGCGCAAAACCAAATTTTGATACTGGCGTTAGACTGGCTTTTATTCCAAGTGCCAATGTAGCAAATTTTATTTAAATGCCCCTATAAATAAAAAAGTTGCAAAACCAAATTTTGATACTGGCGTTCGAATTGCTTTTATTCTCAGTGCCTAAGTATCAAATTTCATGCAATTCGGTTCATAACTAAAGGTGATGTCAAAAGGGCCTTCCTTATTTTGTATTCACGAACTCACGATCTACATGTTTGACAGTTATCGTGTTCACGGACAACATCGACTTTCCTTTGCTCTCGCGGATAATCACAAAACTTGGAATTCAGAAGATTAGTTACTTTCTTGAATCTGTTCTTTAGGCAACACATATTGCTTGTATCTAACATAAATATCGGTACTCGCCGCAATAGAATTATACGTATATGTCAACGGAACTACGAAGTGTACTTGTTGCAATACACGTTTCCCGGTTTTTTTACGCAAGCGGTGTAGCCAAATCTACATTGCCATAAGTACGGGTGTATAAATATATATATATATATATATAATATATATATATTATATACATATTTTATATATATATATATATTATATATATATATATATAATCATAGCTGTATGTGATTGTATAATGGGTTCAGTGTTATGTTATCGAAACATTCAAGGCACTCTACACTTGGAAGTTACAGTAGGTAACTTTTTTATTTCTGATGGCAGCCATATTGGATTTTAGCATTTTTTAATAAAGCTCGTTTCTCTGATTACAATGATTTATTATATGGTATGTTTCAACTTTTAAGATTGAAAACCGCTAATGATTATGTTCAACTATGAAAGAATACCAACCCATATATTCTCTAATACCATACCTCAAGGATGTAGTATAGGTAAGTCACCCACACAACCAAAACCATCTGAAAGGTATCCAATAGTTGAATAAGCGAGTAAGGTAAATTTTAACAAAAAAAATGTGTAATAATATTTTGAACCCTATGTATTTAAAACAAGTTTGCCAAGTAGTTGCCCTTTGTAGATATGAATAAACTATCGTGAAACCTAACTTATATGTGACATGGAGGAGGCCGGGACATTTCGCCGAATGCCCACAACGCCGACACGATTTTTTGAAGGTCCATATCGCCGACTAGGGACACTACGTCGACCGTGCCCACATCGTCGACAAGTGTGCAAGGGACACAACGCCGACCATGCCCACTTCGCCGACGGACACTACGCCGATCGTGCCCACATCGCCGACAAGTGAACAAGGGACACTATAGGTATGACACGCGAGGAAAATAATTTAAAATCGGATTTTTGCTTCATATTGTGTTAACAAATCTGAGTATTAAAGCAATATTAATTTACCTACAATTATTCGGTTTATATTTAAATACTGCAACTTGGTTTTTTCATTTGCCCCGACCCAGCTCAATCTACTACCAACAAAATCGGTCACAATAAGGGACCAAATCCTTCTTGTGGCATTTCCAAGATTTATACCACGAATTGCTGATAAATGTTTGATGTAAAATAATTAAAGGGGAAGAAAATTTTAACCACTATGTAAGTTCCTCACCAATACATTTGCCTGTTGAGGCATCTTCGAGTATTCTTCTAACAGCAAACATTCCTTGAGTGTTTTGTTGCATTGTTAAATTAAAACGTTGACAAAGATATTAAATGATTACAAAATACAGAACACAGACATGCCCAAAAAGGCAAAAATTACGACATTTAATTCATGCGGTCAACTAACAGGTGTTGGATTTTTAAATTTTTGACTAACACTACCACAAAAATCGCATGAAAAAATCTCATCGTGGAATCGCACCTTAAGAACAGTCAGAGTTAACTTTAGTTGTATGGGCAGAGACTGGGTAGATGACGGGATAGAGTTTTTATGAATTTGTTACGAAATATTTGATCCGCGGTTAATTGAAAACACATTCCACTTCCAATCTTCTCTGTCGATGGGCATTCTTCTCATTTAACGATGGAGTTGAGAGATTTTTGCAAAGGCAATGGGATAGAATTGGTAGCTCTATATCCTAATCGATTTAAAATATTATTAGTAGTATTTGCAGAAGTTTGCATTAGCTCTACTTAGGAGTTAAAGTAAATACAAAAATAGTATGTAGAGAGTCAAGATGCTTATAACCTTAACAACTAGTTAAAAATGTTTCAAACCCCACTGGTGGATGTTTCCGCGTAACGCAACTGTAAATGATCGGTAACGGACCAATATAGACCATAGCAGGTATCAATTAGCGAAAACCCGAAGTCTCTGGTGGTCCAGAGGCCGAAATATCGATGGAATAGACAGACAGACGACAGAAAATCGAGCACATAAACTTTACCTCAAATTCGTTGTATTACGCTACAAAACTGATGGAAGAAGAGAGTACATAATTATAATATTTTGGAAAGGACGTCAGAAATAGAGGTTTTAGATAATGTAGATGATGCTACAGGAAGACAGATTGATGACAATATTTGCTACATTTTATTTTGAATATGCATGGCGCTCCTAATTAGCTGATTCCCATTTAAATGTCCATTCGTTGCATGTTGTATTTGACTAGTTTAACTGAATGTGAGGCAAGGCATAAAGTTATGATGTGCACAGCTCGGCCGTTATACCCAAAGTAACTACTATTTCAGGTTTTTTTACAATTCTTTATTATAAAAAAGTCGTGATCTTACAGTTTAATTAAAAAAAGTAGCAACGCGAAGGTAGTTTGATTGTGCGTTTAAATTCTATTAAGAGTGCATTTCGGACATATGTAATCAAAAAACGTTTAAACCTTGTACATAATATCCAACAGATTTGAAAATATGTAAAAATCGAGGACAAAATTGCCGTTGATTTCTTCGAATTGTCAAAAACTTCATTAGCTAATAACCACGACGCAATGAAAGTAGTGGTGAAATTAGTATTGCGCTTTCGCTATTAAAATTCTTCGGAATCCTTAAACATTAATAGTACTCAAGGTAAAAACGATTCGCGGGTAATTATTAATTAGGTACTATATGTGTCTTTGTCTTTCATCTACTTAACCTTTCTATATATACTCCGAAACTTACAATTTAATTTCATAAAGTTTCGAGACGTCAGCTAGTTGGGTAAGTCACGCACTTATTTTAAATGCAATTCATAACTTTAGTTGCACTTGCAGCAAAATGAAGATAAACTGCATTGTGTTGTTCGTATTTGTCTCTGCTGTTTCCGCTCAATTTCCAAATGGCAGAATTTTAGAAGGACCTGTACCAAGTCTCTGTGCCCAGCGGAATATTCATGAACGTACACCTGATGGTAAAAACCGTTACTTTTATTCATGCAAATTCTTAGCTTAGCTTACTTTAGGCAAGGGGTATTTTATGAGCTGGAGGGATCCAGGTCTACGCGGAACTGAGGAAGACTGGTTGGGTGCTCGTAATTACTGCCGACAACGTTGCATGGACTCTATATCTATTGAAACCAGTGTCGAAAATGAATGGATTAAGGAAAGAATCGTTAGAGAACACGTTAGTATTTATCTCTCGCTCTAGTCGAATTCATTAAGATCGCCACTTACAGGTAAAATACATTTGGACATCTGGCCGCCTCTGTGATTTCAAAGGTTGCGAACGTCCCGATTTGCAACCCGTTGCGATTAACGGGTGGTTCTGGACCGCCGTCTTCCAAAAATTGGCACCTACCACTACGAGGGATCAAAACGATTGGTCTGAAAACGGTGGCATTGGTCGTCCGCAACCCGATAATCGTGAAGCCCAACAAGGCGGTGCCAGCGAGAATTGTTTAGCCGTTCTCAATAACTTCTATAAGGACGGTGTTAACTGGCACGATGTCGCTTGCCACCATCGCAAACCGTTTGTCTGTGAAGAAAATGAAGAGTTATTAAAATACGTCCGTTACCACAATCCTCATTTGAAAGTTTAAATTTGGACCGCTTGTGTTTTTCCAAAAATTGTTATCTGTTATTACCAGGAGGGATCAAAACGATTCTCGGTGAATGCGAATAATGTTTAATCGTGCAGGTTGGTTTTCTGTATGTCATTACCATGTAAATATACCCATTATCACATTTGTCTATTGTAAATTGAAAGAAGTTGTATAATAAAGGTTGTAACTTTTATACTTTCATTAATACGCAGAAAAAAAGCAAGTGAATATGCATTTCTGAATTCTAAGGCACAATCATGGATAAATTTGATGGCCCTAGCGAGTTGGCACACTAGTGTTCGGACGGTTTCATTTAAACTCACCGTGACATTCACCTCCAACAGGGCCGCCGTCAGTGACTTGTTTTCGTGTTGTGTGCTATACTGTACATCTTTATCTCCGTCTCAATGGGTCTCTGGATGATGGCCATGGTGTTCGCTGTAATGCTAAACATAATTTTGGTTTTCTAAGTTTAAATTTTACTTACTGTTTTGCGCTGCCCATAGTGGTAGTCAATTTCATTCAATCAGACTCTGCCTTATTTCGTAGAGCAAAGTACGTATTTATTTATGAACTGTTGATTCATAGGCTTCACTAGAATTCCTAAAAAAATTGCTAAACATAATAAAAAAAACAAACGTAGTTTAGATGTTGAGTAGCCAGTGGGCCATTTCGCGGTAATCGATACCAAAAAGGTATAAAAATAGGGTAAAGGCACTTAAGAGTACGCGGTCTATAAGAGTACGCACAGCAATTATTCATTAGAAGGATTACTAATGCCATCTCCAAAATATGTTTTAATCACACTATTTACATTGCAGGTTGGATGGTAAAACAGAAATTTACATAACCTTTCACATGTCTGAAATATTTGAGGACCGTTGGTTTGGCGGTTTTCAGTATAACTTTTGCGGTGTACAAAATAAGCTATTATTAACAAATCATATCAAACTTAAGTGTTGTTAGTGTTTCCAGGAACCTTTTATTATATCAGGTATGTTATTTGATATCGCGTAAATCGAAAATTTATAATTAGGAACTATTTATTACCTAAATTTTAACGGAACAACGAGGCGCTCAAGAGTACGCAGATCGAAAGTTTCAAGAGTACGCACTCAGTTCGTACTCTACAAAAATGTTCTTTAAAATACAATTAAACTTGTTAAATGTTAATTTGGTTGATTGATTTATTTTAATTAATTGACTGACTCTTACATACAACCATGACTCAGGTGTGAATATTTTATAGGTCGCACACATGACTTCGTATAAAAGAAAAAGCAATCGAAAACTCGTCTTTACCGAAAATATTATGAGAGACATTAAAGAGAAGTTGTCACAGGGGCAAAGCAAAAGAAGCATAGCTGCTGAAATGAGCATCCCCGAAGCGACGCTTCGAAAACGACTGAAATGTGACACTGTTCCCAGTTCTTTGGGACGTTATAGTTGCACTTTCACAAAAGAAATGGAAGCTCAGTTAGCAGACTATGTTAGGGAGATGGACACTCGTTTTTATGGTGTTACCATGAAAGACTTAAAGCAGTTTGCCTATGAGTATGCGCAAGCGAATAAAATACAACATCCATTTAATATGGAAAAAAATGGCTGGAAAAACTTGGGTAAAGAATTTTTGTCGGCGGCAGAACATTACTTTGCGTCAACCAGAAAAATGTGCTATTGGAAGGTTAATTGGCTTTAATAATAAACCACAAATCCAGAGATTTTTTGGAAATTTAAAATTTCTTTATGAAAAATATAAATTCCCGTCGCATTGTATATATAATATGGATGAGACAGGAATGTCCACTGTTCCCAACAAGTTGCCGAAAGTATTTGCGCAAAAAGGTAAAAAAGGAGTTGGAAAAGTCGTGAGTGCAGAACGTGGACAATTGGTGACAGCAGTTTGCTGTGTTAGCGCAAGTGGAGTTTACATTCCACCTGCGCTTGTTTTTCCTAGAAAAAGAATGCGAGAAGAGTTGTACAACGGGGCTCCTGCTGGAACCTTGCCTCTTATATCGGATTCCGGATTTATTAATAGTGAATTGTTTTTACAATGGATGAAGCATTTTAAAGATTATGTGAAACCAACTGAAGAAAGTCCAGTCCTGTTAATTTTTGACAACCACGTTTCTCATAGAACATTAAATGTGATTAATTACTGCAGAGATAATTTCATACACCTCCTCTCAATACCCCCACACTCAAGCCATAAAATCCAACCTTTGGATAAGGGATTTTTTGGACCATTGAAATCGGCTTACAGCCAACTGTGCGATAACTGGTTGGTAAACAATCCTGGGAAGGCGATTACCCAAATGCAGGTCTTCCCTATTCAAAAACGCTTACTACAGGGTATCAAGCGTTGGAACTGCAGTGAACTCCTTTCTTTCGACTGGTATATTTCCGTATAATCCACAAGTATTCACTGATGAAGATTTCGCACCATCTCTCGTCACGGACAGAATGGAAGAACCGGTCATCATCAACAGAGTGAAGGAACCGGTCGTCACCGACAGAATGGAAGAACAGGTCGTCACCGACAGAATGGATGAACCGATCGTTACCGATAGAACGGAAGAACTAGAAGGACTAGACCTACACCGTATAAATGATGGGACTATCGTTTTAGAAACGCGAGAGACTCTTGGTAAAGATTTAACTATTAGTAATAGGCAACATACTGTAAATGTGCTAGCTGAACCTTACACTGTCGAAATAGATGACATTGAAATTTGCAAATATGACCAAATTATACACGATAGGAGAGAAAAAAACCCAGAAATGCTTATACTTCCAGTGGAAACTGACGTGTTGGTTAATTCACGCGGTAATGAAGAAATGAAGGCAAAAAATATGTCCATAATGAGTCCACACGAACTTCAACCATACCCTAAAATTACGACAATTCAAAACCGACAAAAAAATGCTCAGAAATCAGAACTTTTAACAAGCACTCCGTATAAAACCATGTTGGAAGAAAAAGAAAACATTAACCACGATGAAACTTTAAAGAATAATAAACTCTCGAGTAAAGTTAAAACAACAAAAAGGCAAATAGCGGAAGGTACCTCAAAAAAACGTACTACGATCACTAAAAGGAAGATAGTGCGTGGAAAAAAAAGTGTGGAATTAGGTGCAAAGACGAAAGATTCCCATGAAGAGATTCATTGTCCAGGTTGCAATGAACAATTTATTGAGCCACCCACAGAAGATTGGATTCAATGCTCTAAATGTATGCAGTGGTGGCATGAGGCATGTTGTTGTTATTCCGGAGGCGAATTTGTGTGTGATATTTGTTAAAATTATACATGCGTACTCTTAAGTGCCCTTGTGCGTACTCTTGCATGCAAGTACTTACAAGAGTACGCGTTTGTGGATTTGCACAAAAACTTTTTTATTTAGAATTTTGTTTCCGTTATGTTGCTTTTACTAGTAAAAATAAATCGTAGATAAATGTAGTTAATAGCTTTTATTCTAATGCTTCACCTTATACCAAACATTAATATGTACTATGGCATAATGTCTTAACTCTTTCCAGCTTGATGGTTGCCCGATGTACCACCTAATTGTGGGTCTTTTGGGTATGGTGATACACGCATCGTACCACTTGGTTATTATTTTTTACTGCGTTGTATAATGGTGCTACTATCGTACCACAGCGGTTATAGATCCCTGTTGTGAGTGTGCATATCATATTATAGGTGTCGCCGCGCCCTCGCAGAAAAAAATCAAGTTAGCCGCGCTTTTGTTTCGCGCGTAAAACTTTCAGATTAGTGGCACTGTTTTGGTTTTAATTTTGTGTAAAAATAGTATTTTCGTGGTGATTACCGAATTATATTACAGCTTGTCAATCGTAAGTATTGTTACATGTACTAGTTTATGATTTTCAGTAGATTCACTTTACAAAAATTGTTAGTTTTTTGGTGTCCTTGCTTTGTACCACCATGCAACTAGCAAAAAATTATAAACTTTTTTCATAGTTTAGTGGCTCACCATTTATTTCTATTATCACTGCTATTATGACTACTTCTCTCAATCATATAGACCATTATCAGTAAACGCAAAGCGGACCCACTGGCTTTTAAGCTTGTTGACATGGCGGAGGAAGAATTATGCGAAGAGATATACGGAGAGGATATTTATGCAGATATTCCCAGTGATGCAGAATCTTTTGCACCTGATTTTTGCGTTGAAAGCAGCGATCGTGAAGATGAAGTGGATGAAATAATTGACATTCAAGTACCTAATAATAAAAATTAAATTTTTATTGCATACTAAAATTAATTTACAGGTCGTAGAAAGTGAATCTGATGAGTCTGAGTTTGATATACCGCTTGCTCAATTACAGTCTAGAAGGGCTAATGCTCGGACTAATGACACCCCATCTACCTCGACGGCCAAACCTGCACCAGAGACATTTATCTGGAACAAGACACAAGCCTCAAATCAATGTTTTCCGTTTGTTCAAGATAGTGGAGTTGCCGATTTTATTAAAAACTTAAATAATCCAACTCCTGGGAAACTTTTCCAAGTCTTCTTTGACGATGGCCTTTTGGAACATATCGTCTTTCAGACAAACCTTTATGCCAACCAAACAAACCTCCAAAAGTCAAAGTCAACTTCTATCACCCCAACTACAAAGTGTGAATTTATGGCATTTCTGGGCATAAACATATTAATGGGAATTAAAGTTCTCCCGAGTTACCGAGATCATTGGTCTTCATCCCCTGATCTTCATGACCCATATATAAGTCAACTAATGAATGTAAACAGATTTAGTTGGATACTTGGTAACTTGCATCTCAATGACAATGAAGTTATGCCAAAGAAAGGTCAACCAGGTTTTGATAAATTATTCAAATTGCGGCCTTTTTTAGATGTTATGCAGCAAAAGTTTGAAGAATGCTTTTCACTAACCGAATGTGGTGCAATCGACGAATCCATGATTAAGTTTAAAGGACGAAGTTCCCTTAAACAGTACCTCCCCAAAAAACCTATAAAGAGAGGTTTCAAGGTTTGGTGTTTGGCGGATGGTTCAGGATATTTGAGTAAGTTTCAGATCTACACTGGAAAACAAGACAACAATGTAGAGAAGGCTTTAGGACCACGCGTCGTGAAAGATTTATGCTCTGGTTTAGAGAATAAGGGACATAGAATCTACTTTGATAATTATTATTTTAGTTCTGTCGATTTGTTGCATGATCTAAAAGATAAAAAAATTAATGCTTGCGGTACTATAACTTTTGCCAACTTTTAGTTCCGATAAACAGCTGAAAAGAGGTGACTATGATTATTTTGTTCAACAAAGGAATTGCTACCACAAAATGGAAAGACAAAAGGGCAGTTTTTTTGATTTCAAATTTCCACAATCCTCAAGATACTACCACTGTCAAGCGTAAAGCCAGAAATGGGTCTATTGAAGACGTGCCCTGTCCAATTATGTTGACCGACTACAACGCACACATGAACGCTGTTGACAAATTTGACCAGGAAAAATCCTCCTACGAAATTGATAGGAAACGCCGAAAATGGTGGCATCGAATTTTCTTTTACTTTGTTGACGCTTGTATTGTGAACAGTTACATTATTTATGAAAAGCTGGGTTTACCGAAAATGACTCTGAAGAATTTCAGGCGCAAAGTGGTGGAACATCTTGTTTGTGAAACATTGACCCATACCAATACTAAGAAAAGAAGAAGTAATCCTGTTGTCGCTGCTATAAGGGAACACAAGCCATATGTTCCTGACAACATTCGCCAAAGGGAAGCAGCACATTTGCCCATTAGGTCGAGCAGAAGACGATGCGGGCACTGCAGCACAAAAAGTAAACAAGTTCGGACCAAATGGATGTGCACAATGTGCAAAGTCCCACTATGTTTGAAAGACGACAAAAATTGTTTTATTCCATTTCATAAGAAATAAATAAAAAAATTCTTATTAGCTTTTTTTACCTACCGCCCGTACTTGAGATATTCCTATTTGGCAGCTAAGCCTAATAATAATAATAATATGTGAAACCACTTTTCTTTCACGATGCTACATGGTGGTATCAACCCCAGTACCACCTCCTTTTAATTGTTTATAAATTAAAACTTTAACAATTTTAATTTTTTTTTCTAATTTTACTAACGTTTTGATCCCAGAAACATATTTTTTAAGTTTAAATTTAAACAAAATTTTTCTCGTGCAACTAAGGTGTTTCCTTACTCCGTGCAGCAAAGAGTTAAGTGCGTACTCTTAGGCTCCTTTACCTAATACGCAAATACTTACGTCAAAATAGAAAAATAAGTGATTTTTTTTCAGTTTTCATAATTCAAAAGAGATTACCAATATTTTCGATATTTTTCGTAATATTTCCTTCAACCTGAGATCATGCTAATGTTAAATATTAAGGGGATTATTTTTTGACGTTTCTCGAAACCAATAGAAATGTTCAATTTCAGTCATTCATATAGTATATTCCGGCCAATCAAAACATTATTATGGTGAGAATAATCTACTTAGATTATTCCAGCGAGAATTGTACTATCGTTTCCTTCTTCAGATGATGATTCTGAATAACGGTATAGTATCCTACTTCTGCACTCGGCTCACGATTTTTAGAGCAGAAAACTGCTAATAAACGAAACCACTCTTTTACAGACTGTACCCCCTCTACTCTCCGCCAATTACCGACATGTACGCTTCATTACTTTTCTTATTTGGTGCTTTACGCTCACACGTAAAAATTTATTGTGTTTTTAATTATCGGAAATAACAAAAGAAAATCAGTGGAAAACGAATCATCTTTTTCCTAGTCGTCTTCTGAGGACGAGGAAGTTTTAAGATTGCGTCGGAAACTTAAGTAATTAAAGAGGAAATTTAAAAAGAGGAAGACGTACAACTCAGATTTGGATGACTTTACTTACCTTGTTCTAAATCTTTAGAACACAATGCATGATGAATGGGCATTCGCAGAGACTGAGGATTTCATTGCGTCCATTGCTGTAAAAATATTTCGGCTAGTTAAATAATTATTTCTCATTATCACCTTACAGCTTCGTTTTCTTTGTCTGGTTCATCTTCAACCTGATTTGAGACAATCTGCAACAGTTGTAAGCTTTACTTATATGTGGATGTCAATAAACAAAATACAAACTTTAGTTTCAGGAATTGTAAATTCAAAGATAATGTTCTCATCCATAGCTACTGATGCTGAAGGAGCAGCAATGATTTCTTCAGCTTCACCCCAGGGATTCGGACCGGACCGAAAAAAAACCGAAAACCGGACCGAAACCGGTATTTTTTTCAGGACCGAAAACCGAACCGAAACCGTTATTTCTTCAGAAATTGAATCTTATTGAGAACCGGAACCGTTATTATTTTTTTCGGTTCTTTTCGGTTTTTTTACGGTTCTGAACAGGTTATTGGAAGTTGAAGGACGCGCCGGCCAACGCGTTCTGAAAAAAGATAAAATATTACTTTAAGCCGTAGCCAGAAAGGGAAAGGAAAAAGGTAGCCGATAATTTAGCCACAACCATTTTAAAAATAGATTTGTTTTGTTGTGCAATTCTCAATTGTGTGAATACTTGTATAGTGAATGCTGTTAATGCGATTTGCGAAGTAGAAAATGGGACGAATATCATCAAACAATGCACATAAACATTTTATTAATAACAAAATATCTACCTGCAAAATATGTGATGCAAAACTAAAAGTAGGCGACTTTAACCTGAAAATTTGTCGATTTTTGTTTGAATACATTCTTCGTTACAGGGAAATCATGGTACCAATTTGAAAAAGCATTTGATGAGATACCACGACTTCGAAGAAGCATATTTTAGTTTTAGTGAACATAAGCTTACCTCGAAAAAAGTAAACCAACAAAAACTAAATGAAATAAATAAAGTACAGGTGGCCATGTCGAAGGAAATTTTAATTGAGGCATGTGTTGAGTTGGTGACATTAAATGGTAGACCATTTACGTTAATGGGTGACTCTGGATTCAGAAAAATATTAGAACCCATTCTAGAAGGTCTGCCAAAAAAAGACAACATCAGTTTAACCAATGAATCAATTCAAAATTACATAGATACTGAATATAATATTATGAAGTCAGAAATAATTAGGCAAATCACTGGTGCCATGATTTGTCTAAAAGTAGATGCGGTCACACGATTGGATCGATCCTTTCTTGGTATAAATATTCAGTACATGTATCAAGATTCTATAGTTTTACAAACTCTGGCAGTTAAAGAGTTAACAGAACGCCACACAGGTTTGTTTTATAATAATAAGTATTACCTATTCTATAGTTTTTGTATTTCTAGGTGACTACATAAGTAATATAATATTGGAATTATGTAATTCCTTCGAAATAAAACCAAGTCAGATTTATACCATTACAACGGATAATGGTTCTAATATGATTAAGGCCATTAAATCGTTGGCAACAAGTAACGGAGACTTGGAAATTGTTGAAATGGATGAAGATGAAGCTCAAGATTTGGAAATAGACGATGAAGCACAAGAATCCTTACTAAATTCATTTCCTGATGATGATATACTCAATTTAACTAATCTTTTGCAACCACAAGAAGGTGATCCGTTTCCATCCCATTTAAACTACCATGTATTTATTACGGGTAAGTTGAAATCGAGGTTGAAATTTAAGTTGAAAACTCGAAATGAATGTAGCTATGTAGAAATGTTTCTCTAAGTGTATGGGGACATCACAGTCATTCCGTTGGTTAACTTGACAATGACAAGATTGCTTGGTATCAATAAAATGCTTGTACTTACATTTCGAAAAATTCAACCGTCACTTAATTTTAACAATGTGCAATTAATCGGAAATAAATTTTAGGTATGCGTTGTGCGGCTCATACCCTTCAACTTGCAGTAGAAGGAGCATTAAGTAAAGATAAATCTGTAGCTGCCTTAATTCTAAAAGCAAGGCACATAATTAAAAAACTTAGAACTCAAACATATTTGTATATGATTAAAAAACAGAATTTAAAAAAACCTGTAATTGACTGTGTAACAAGATGGGGGTCAACTATGAAGATGTTGGAAAGTTTGCTAGATTTAAAAGAATTTTGCTTGGAAATGTCAATTACATCAAGTGATAAATTTGAAAATTTTTCCGAATTAGAGTGGACAAAAGTTAATCATATTTGCCAAGCATTGCTACCTGCCTATATATGTACAAAAAAGCTCCAACGTGAGCAACTCACACTAAGCGACTTTTATGGTTATTGGCTTGAATGTAAAATGGAAACCAATAAAATTAACTCAACTTTTTCAAATATAATAGTGTCTAATATGAATGTTCGTGAAAAAGATCTGCTTGGAAATAACGTAATTTTAGCTGCTATTTTCCTTGACCCTAGATATAAAATTATGTTAGATAAGGAGCAATGCAAAAAAGCAAAGAGTCACTTGAAGGAAGTATGGTATCATTTGCTTATGTATAAGGAAGCTATTGTTCCTTCAATAGCTGCAGAAAGTTCAACTGACACTGACACGTCGGCGGTTGATGATTTCGAGGAACTATTAAAGGAAAAGGAAAGGCAAGTTGCTGTACGAAAGTCACTGCATCCTACGAGTATTAAATCAGGCGGATCCAAATCAGTACAAGAGGAACAACAAAAACCAATTGATTGTCTTCTAAACAATTACGAATGCGAGCAACCTAGAATAAACAGGAAGAGTGATGTGTTGAAATTTTGGAGTATGAATAAACACTCGCATCCTGAATTGTACATTTTGGCACATATTGTACTTGCATTTCCTGCAACGCAGGTTAGCGTTGAACGTTTATTTTCAGGCTTAAAATTTATTTTGTCTCCATTAAGAAACAAGGTT